CTAAGATCAGGGACTAGACAAGGTTGCCCACTCTCCCTCTACCTATTCAATATAGTACTGGAAGTCTTAGCCAGAGCAATTAGACAGCAAAAAGAAGTCAAAGGGATACAAATAGGAAAGGAAGAAGTCAAAATATCACTATTTGCAGATGATATGATAGTATACTTAAGTGACCCCAAAACTTCCACCAAAGAACTCCTAAACCTGATAAACAACTTCAGCAAAGTGGCTGGTTATAAAATCAACTCAAACAAATCAGTAGCCTTCCTCTACATGAAAGATAAACAGACTGAAAAAGAAATTAGGGAAATGACACCCTTCACAATGGTCACAAATAATATAAAATACCTTGGTGTGAATCTAACTAAGCAAATGAAAGACCTGTATGACAACTTCAAGTCCCTGAAGAAAGAAATCGAAGAAGATCTCAGAAGATGGAAAGATCTCCCATGCTCATGGATTGGCAGGATTAATATAATAAAAATGGCCATCTTCCCAAAAGCAATCTATAGATTCAATGCAATCCCCATTAAAATCCCAACTCAATTCTTCACAGAGTTAGAAAAGGAAATTCTCAAATTCATATGGAATAACAAAAAACCCAGGATAGCGAAAACTATTCTCAACAATAAAAGAACTTCGGGAGGAATCACCATCCCTGACCTCAAGCTGTACTACAGAGCAATAGTGATAAAAACTGCATGGTATTGGTACAGAGACAGGCAGGATGATCAATGGAATAGAATTGAAGACCTAGAAATGAACACACACTCCTATGGTCACTTGATCTTTGACAAAGGAGCTAAAACTGTCCAGTGGAAAAAGGACAGCATTTTCAACAAATGGTGCTGGTTCAACTGGAGGACAACATGTAGAAGAATGAAAATTGATCCATTCTTATCCCCTTGTACAAAGCTCAATTCTAAGTGGATAAAGGACCTCCACATAAAACCAGATACACTGAAACTAATAGAAGAGAAGATGGGGAAGAGCCTCGAATACTTGGGCACAGGGGAAAAGTTCCTGAACAGAACTCCAATGGCATATGCTCTAAGATCAAGAATTGATAAATGGGACTTCATAAAATTGCAAAGTTTCTGTAAGGCAAAGGACACTGTCAATAGGACAAAACGACAACCAACAAATTGGGAAAAGATCTTTACCAATCCTTCATCTGATAGAGGGCTAATAGCCAATATATACAAAGAACTCAAGAAATTAGACTCCAGACAACCAAATTACCCTATTAAAAAATGAGGTATAGAGCTTAACAAAGAATTTTCAACGGAAGAAACTCGAATGGCCCAGAAGCACCTAAAGAAATGTTCAGCATCCTTAGTCGTCAGGGAAATGCAAATCAAAACAACCCTGAGATTCCATCTCACACCAGTCAGAATGGCTAAGATTAAAAACTCAGGTGATAGTAGATGCTGGCGAGGGTGTGGAGAAAGAGGAACACTCCTCCATTGTTGGTGGGACTGCAAGATGGTGCAATCACTTTGGAAATCAGTCTGGTGGTTCCTCAGAAAATTGGACATAGCATTACCTGAGGATCCAGCTATACCACTCCTAGGCATATACCCAGAAGATGCTCTAACATATAACAAGGACATATGCTCAACTATGTTCATAGCAGCCTTGTTTATAATAGCCAGGAGCTGGAAAGAACCCAGATGTCCTTCAACTGAGGAATGGATTCAAAACATGCGGTATATTTACACAATGGAGTATTACTCAGCTATTAAAAACAACGAATTTGAGAGGTTCCTAGGTAAATGGATGGAACTAGAAATTATCATCCTGAGTGAGGTAAGCCAATCACAAAAGAAGACACATGGTATTCACTCACTGATTATTGGATATTAGCCCAGAACCTTGAAATGCCCAAGATGCAACTCACAGGCCACATGAAGCTCAAGAAGAAGGAAGACCAAGTGAAGGTGATTTGGTCCTTCTTAAAAGGAGCAACAAATTACTCAAGGGAGCAAATATGGAGACAAAGTGAGGGACAGAAACTGAAGGAGGGGCCGTTTCAAGACCACTCCACCTGAGTATCTATCCCATGTACAATCACCAAAGGTAGATGCTGATGTGGAAGTCAGGAAGTGCATGCTGATAAAGCCTGATATGGATATCTCCTCAGAGGTCTTCAAGAGTCTGACATACTCAGAGGCCGATGCTCACAACTAGCCATTGAACTGATCATGGGGTTCTCAATAGAGGAGTTAGAGTGAAGACTGAAGGAGAGCTGAAAGGATTTGTGGCACCATGAGGAGAGCAACAATACCAACCAACCACAGCTCCCAGGGTCTAAACCACCAGCCTGGGAGCACTTAGGGAGGGATCCAGCGCTTCAGTTGAATATGTAAGAGTGGAGGGCCCTGCTGGGCATAGGTGGAAGAAGAGAACCTTGACTGTATGAAGGCTGGATGCCCCAGGGGGTGGGAATTTTGAGGGTGGGGAGGTGGGAGTGGGGGGGTAGATAGAGGTTACATCCACAGAGAAGAAGGAGGAGGGGTGAGGGGATTGGGGGTTCCTGGGTGGGTGGGGGATGGGGTAAGGGGACAACATAGGAAATGTAAATAAAACATCCAATAAAAAAAAAGAATCTATTATAAAAATTCAAAAAAAAAAATAGGTCAAATCAACTAGCTTGCCCCTCCTCCAGCGTTGACTCCATTTACTGCAGTGGAGGGACTTACCAAGCTCAAAGTAAAGCATCAGTCTTATCTGTTATCTTAGCTCCTTTCAATGTTACTAATTATTTTAATGCTTATTTAATGCTTTTACTTCTGTTATATCAATGTTATAGCACATTCCAAAAGCAAAAATAATTAATTAAACCTGGATTAGAATATGACTAATAGTAGAATCTGGATATTTCTTCCTTAGCAGCCTTTGGTAATTATTTCTCTTCTTTAAGATCTGCCTTCCAGATTGTTGTAGCCTTCCCAGATTCCAGAATAAGCTCCTGGCTGCCATGGGACATGAGTTGCCATGGACCATAAGCTGGGGCTTATAAAAGTAGCTACATCTGCTGGAACTTCCACAAGCTGTATGTTTGATGTTATATCTCTAAGTGTGGACAATTAAAATGTTACAGGTCCAAAGGAAAAATTATATTGGGCTATTTTAGTCTTTTAATAGCCAACCTGTATTTACTTGCACCCACAAATGTACGTCCATTTCCTATTTTCCTATCAGATCACACGTACACTGCTATTCCCTGTCACCCTCCTCCCACTTCCTTCTGTATATCTACAAATAAGTGTAGCCTTCATTCCTTATCATTTGCAACAGACAGAAAACCAAAACCAATCAAAATGTACAGTTTTGTATTCCAGTCCCAGTGGATAGATCTACGAAACATTCCCACACCTGAGGCCCAGGGAACATTAACATATATAGAGCAGAAAGACTGTAAGAACCAGAGGATCAATAAATTTGCTACAAAATTGTGTCTTCTAGCAACATTAGGAGCTACACCAATAAAGTATCACCAACATGACTGCCCAAAATGTGAGCTGAAGAAGGATGGCACCAATGACCATGCCAAACTGGATGGGAATAATTTCAAGAGGCCAAGACGCTACACAAAGAATTTAGAAGCAACTAAATAAAGCTGGGAGCAGAAGTGGTCCTCCCTGGGGCAGAGAGAACACATCAATTGGTTGTTTAGTGCCAAATGGTCAGCCCTGAAAACATATATACACATCATATGCATAAATTTATATGGACTCAACAGTGTGTGTATACATTTATATATGCAATAACAATTAATAAAAAGGAGGCCATGAATTTGAAGAAGAGCAAAGGGAGATAGATTATGGGAGGGTTTGGAGGGAGGAGACGGAAGGAAAAAACATTGTAACTAAATTATAACCTCAAAATAACAACAAAAAATAGCCAAATCTATTACCTTCCCCTGCTGAGATGGAATTTAAGTATAGAAACCCTACTAGGTCCTATCTTTACTCTCCATCTTCCTCACAACTGCTTCAAAAACCACAAATTCCAACCTTATCATCTCAAGTATCCCCTTCTCTTAGTAATTTCAAATTAAAATGACTTGAAATGTCTTCTTGGACTCCCTTACTTTCCTTTGATAACTGTCCTGACTCTATATCCACTGAGCAATCCCTGATTCTGGATGCTGGTCCAGGTCATCCAGAATACTGTGCAGCATGCTACTTGGACTCAATAATGTTCTCATATGAATGAGTACAGATGCCAGCTTTTGTTCTAGAGGTCAACACCTGACTATCCATGGTGTTACTAACTCTAATGAACTCCCCAGGAATCTGCCCCATTGTGTCCCTCTTGAGCACCCTGAAACTTCTCAGAAAGTCACTATATCGCTCTATGAAAAAATTAATGCAACATCAATTGTGTGCTCTAAAACCTGCTCTCTGACATGTTTTTAACTCAGTGACATCCTCTCTCAAACTAGGCAAAATTATCCAATACTAAAGAATACCCTATCCATACAAAGAAACTGAAAAAAAAATCTAAACAAGTATCAAAGCCTTCTTGGCATTTTGTTTTAATTACATAATTTCCAAAATTGTCTTGAATGTTCCTAGTCAACTTGTTTCCATTATTCTTCCATTAGCACTACCATGACTAAATAAGTAACTGATAGAACTTGTAGATCATAATTCAAGGCAGTGTACCATATAGACCATGACATGTTTCAAGGCAGAGGCCAAGAAGATTCTGTACTTTTCTACCACCTGGCCCCTCTTACCCCCTCCCCTTGTAAAACATGCTATAAAAAAGCATTTCATGTTCAAAAAAATTTAAAAAAAAAGAAATTCAGTGTTTTCACATACATTTGTCTTTAGTGTAAAGAAGAAAGCTAAACTTTCCAAAGTACCAATACTTAAAATATTTCCCTTCCAAATGTCTAAGCATTTTCATTCAGAGAACGAGTGAGCTTCTAAACATGGGTCATTAGCCCTGCATACATCACACGTGTTTCTAAGCAAAGTGATCCTTACTTTTGTCCTTTCCTCAATATCTGCTCCGTACTGTAGCAGCTTGGCAGCTGTTGCTGAATTCCCGCCATAGACGGCATAATGCAGAGCGGTGTTACCCCTGCTGTCTTTAATGTGCAGGTTAGCATGGTGCTCTAGCAGAAAACACACGATTTTGTCTTCCCAGCTTTGGATAGCCTTAAGGGATTTTAACAAGAAGCACACAGTCATCTCAAAGAATTAATGATACATACTCATGAGTTTCACATTTATTATAGTTATATGAGATGAATTCATTTTTACTTCAATCACAATCATTTTATTCTTAAAATGATGACTATGGCCTACCTTCATGAGGGGTGTGATGTTATTATTGTCACACACATTAATCTCACAGCCACGTCTCCAGAGATATATCACCAGTTCTAAATGTCCATAAAAGCAAGCAAAGTGCATGGCATTCCTATAGAGAAATCACAGTGCACTATCTCAATATATGCAAGAGTTCTTGTAACTGGAACTGTTAAATAGCATAGAGTGCATGTGTGTTTTAAACAAATATGTAATGCTTTTCTGAAAAAAAAATGTTTTCCATTGTGAAATTTCTTCCAAACACACACACATACACACACACACATACATACACACACACACATCTGATTCATTTGCATTAAGCCTCATTTAAAAATCCAGGACATAGAACACAGATCCTTTGGCAGAATGTAGCCACAAACGGCATTTATCCCAGTTCACTATGACCCCTTGTTTCCAATTCTCCTGAGCCAGTCTTTTCCTGTTTGTTGATTGCCACTCTGCCTTCTGCACTTCCAGAAAAATAGGTTATTGAGCTCTGCTCATGGCGTTCTCCTTTGACATTCAACTCCAAGCTTGCCCACATTCCTACCACACAAGTCTATTGCCCTATAAGGCATGTGCTTAAGGTGGTGTTCAGGAAATGGAGAAGGGACTGGAACCAACAACTGGCTATACTATTCCTAAAGCTTGACCCACAGAAACTACCATCTGTTCATAAGGTTCCACAACTCCCAAATCAGAGATACCATCTGAGGCTCAAATGCTTAAATACATGAGTTGGGAGGAAGAGGATATCTTTGAATTCTAGCCAATTTTACTCCTACTCTAAGCTCTTTTAACTACAAATTATTTCTTACACTTTCTGGGCTTCATTTCTGCTCCAATAAAATGGAACACTGTGATGCTTCATTGAGAATGTATACACAATAATTAAGAAAGTTTTATTTATAACCTGCTAGATAGTAATCATATTATTCCAATTTAACATACATGGTTAAACAGGTTGGTAAAACAATACAATTATACCCATTTGTAGATGTTTTAAGAATTCTATAATTCAACAACTGTAAGGTGACTTTTTTTTTAACATGCCAGGATCTTCATGTTCAGATTGGTCACACACTCATGCTGTTCCTGCTAAGATGCTGAGACTGGAATGCCCTTCTTCTGTTTAGAACTATAAATGATAGCAACTTTTAGATTTTTATTAATACTCAAAAGAATGGGTCAGAATGCAATCCTATATACAATGGGTCCCTTGAAATCTAGTTTTGCTAATTGCACTTAATAAATTTTACTTCTTACAAGTACAGTAAGAACAGCAATAGCAATATCAAAAGCTAAGCACAAAGTAACCAGGGCTTTGCTTTTCAGACTTTTAAGCCAAAGAAAGAAATTGTAGGAATCAAATGAAGAAATATCATTTAATTTTAGTCAATATTGCCACTCTGATCAAAAGAAAACCATGAAGTTTTCAAGGAGAAATGGATCCTGAAAAATCGTAATATGTACATAGTAGATATTCTGGTTAAATCTGGAGACTAAATGTATTGAGAGAATGGGAGGGGATTCATGCTTCTATATAGACACTATTACATCTGAACACCACCCTAAGCATTGTAAGACAATTCCGGTGTGATATTAATAGCCATGTATATTTGCTATCCTTTATTTTCATACTTAAGATGAGAATATTAGCTTGGGAGTCTTTTGCTGTGATGAAACACCATGACCAAAGCAACTTGAGGAGGAAAGGGTTTACTTGGCTTACACTTCCACAGCACTGTTCATCAAAAGACAACAGGGCAGAGATTTAAACAGGGCAGGAACCTGGAGGCAGAAACTGATGCAGTGGCCATGCAGGGGTGCTGCTTACTGGTTTGTTCTTTATAGCTTCCTCAGCCTGCTTCCTTACAGTACACAGAACCACGAGACTAGAGATGGCACCACCCACAATGTGCTGTGCCCTCTCCTATCAATAACTAGTTAAGAAAATGTCCTACAGACATCCCTGCAGTTCAATGGAAGCATTTTCTTTATTGAAGTTCCATCCTCTCAGCTTGTGTCAAGTTAACATAAAACTACCCAGCACAGGTGGGGGCCATCCTTAACTCTGTTCCTGCCTATGAATCCCATTCTCCTAACTGGATGGCCTTGCCTGCCCCAATGGGAGGGGATGTGCCTGGTCCTGAGTGACTGATGTGCCAGGGTGGGGGGGTGCCGGGGGTGGGGACTTTCCCTTCTCTGAGGAGAAGGGAATAGGTAAATGGGGGAGGGTATCTTTGTGAGGGAGGAACTGAAAGGAGGGGGCTGATATAGGGATGTAAACTGAATAAATAATGAAAAACAACTATCCAGCAGAATCAGTCTGCAATATCTGCATAAGTCTATATAGAACAAAACCATGCTCAATAATATTTATACAACATAAAAATCTATAATCACAGATAGACTCTTCTCAGAAAAGACTAAGTAGCAACAGAAAATATCAATATATACATACATATATACATACACCAAATTAAAAGAAAGTGTGAGATTTTTATCTGTACATGAACACAATCCCGCTCTTCAAATGACTATTTGAAAGAATGGTAGAAGCATACGCAGGACCAGGAACAACTAACTACACAGGAGGCAGAGAGAGAGTCAATGTCAACACACTGCATTAAAGTAGATTATATTCTCTACCACTGAAAATAAGTTAGAAAGAAATAAAAAGATGACCTGAAACGAAATGTTCAAATTAAGCATGTTTATCAGCGGTCCCTGTCCTGTGGGGGATCGAATGACCCTTTCACAGGGGTAGCCTAAGATCACTGAAAATACATTTTACATTATTTTACAGACGTTTACATTATGATCATAACAGTAGCAAATTACCATTATGAAGTAGCAACAAAAATAATTTTATGGTTAGGGGTCACCACAACATGAAGATCTATATTAAAAGGTAGCAGCATCACAAAGCAGAACTGTTAATTTAAGGAATAAAAAAGAGGAAAGTTCATTTGCAACTCAAGTGCTAGAAAATAATACATTAGATTTGTACATATAGTTTGTTAATTTAAGTCTCCAATCAATGTTTAGATTTAATCAAACTGGTTTGTCACTTAGCATATCTGACTATGCTAATATTCCTCTCTGCCCATGCCTCCTTCAAGGTGAAATATTCAATGGATGCACTGTATTTTTTAATAAGTTTGTTCTTCTAATAATTTGACATTTTAAGGCAGGCTGACAAAAGTAAAGTGCTATGGGTTTCTTTTCTCCCTACTGAAACCAAGAGGTAGAGGTGTGTGTGTACAACTTATAACTGTAGCAGGGGAAACAGAGACACTCAGTTCAGTTCCTTACAGTATACATCAGGCTTAATATACACATATATAAACATATATATATATTCTAATATACACTCTGATATATATCATATATAGTGGATACTAGGTTTTACTTGAAGAATTTTAGGCTTGAAGGTAATAAATGCATTATAAAAATATTTCTTTTGTTCTTCACTTTTTAAAAAATGTATCTAACATTGTATTCCTAATATGTACACAAAGATAAAATGATTTGTTTTAGTTAATTAAGACGTTTAAATAGTCTGTTGACTCTCTAAAGGACTCAAGAGGAAGGAAAAGCAACTAAACTTCTGCCCTTGCGTTGGCTAGGCCAGGGGTCCCTCCCAGATGTGCTGATCACAGGCGCTGAAACAGCCAAAGTATAGTGGCAGCAACCAGAGCTAGGCCCTCCCCGCTCCTGTTCCTGTCCTGGGAGCCAGTAAACGTGTCTTCTCCCACACTGCGCCCCGCCCCCTCCAGGTCTGAAGGCTCTCTTACCTGTTCTCCTTGTCTCTGTAATTGACTTCGTATTTACCCAGAGTGAAGTACAGCCGCACAAAAGATAAATCTCCTGCACAGGCCGCCATGTGCAGATCATTGTCAGGAAAGTATGCCATGTCTAAATGAGCAGGATCCTCCCTTCCAAAGCACGGGTTGCTTCTTCGTGGCTTATTATCGCAGAAACCCAAGGGCGTCTCTTCCCTACTCTTTTTCTGACACCAACGCAGGACAGAGAAGCCCGGAAAACCCAAAGGCCTCCTCTCTTCCCCTCGGCTGTACTTTCCTCCCATCTCAGGCAAGGTTATATATAGCAAGCCAACCGTTAACTGCCCCAGTATCAATGTTATTATAACAAGCAGACTCTTCCCATCTTATATCAAATTATAGGTCTACCTCTCCAGTTTTTAACATCATATAGTTAGCCCATTATTCCTTATCTAAGTATCAATGATGTAGTAAGCCCACCTATCCTGATCTAAATATTATAGCTTGTCATAGACGAGCCAAGTCTCTCCCAACGTCCCTGTCCCCTCAAGTCTGCTCCCTGGTTTAGTGTCTATCAACTGCAAGGACAGTTGGCAGAACAGCTCTTGTCAAGTCATGCTGGTGGACGCAAGTATGCAAGGGTGTACTCGAACGTGTGCGTGGTTTCTGACCTTCAGTTGGCTGAAGCCAATAAAGATCAATGCGCATGTGCATAGTCCAAACTGTCAAATCTCTACAAAGTCGACATGTGTTGTTTCAAATGTCAGAAGAGGCTAAAGGGATGGCTCAGTGTTTATGAGCATGTACTGCTCTAACAGATGGACCTAGCTTGGGGTCCAGCACCCACCATAGCTGGCTTACAATGCCCTTTTCTGGACTGTGGGCACCTATACTCACACAGGCACATTCCCTCACACAGATATGAATATAATTAAAAATTACGAACTTCTTAAATGTCAAAAGTCAAAAGAGAATTAGATGACCTTTCGTCATTTCTTCAAAGCTGACTACAAGCCATGGGAAAGGAGACCTTGTACGTGGCTGTTGAAAGTGAAGGGGGACATGGAATGTCAAAGGCCCACTCTACAGGAAAATCTCTTAACAGAATGGTCTTTAATTTCTATTGTTTATTTTTCGCATCCAGTAGGGTACGAGAATTCAGCAGTGGAACTAACAGTGGTCTGTTTTCATGGTTTCAAAGGCAAATTTTGAAGAGAAAGTAATACACAATCCATGCAAAATGAACATCTACCAACATATCTCCTAGCCTCTTTTGCCCTGACTACATTTTTATGTTCTCCCTATTTTATTTGCTTTTATAAAACCTGCAATAATCCCAAGGTGGTTTTTTTAAGAGAGCAACATATTTAAAGGTTTTAATTGGCAATTTTCTTTCCCCAACCCATCTTTCCTCACTTGATTACAATGAATGTGCATATACACACACACACACACACACACACACACACAAATTCATTCAGTGGCTTTCTCAACCCCCCAAGAACTACCTGGCTTGAGCTCCTGCCATGCCTGCGTGCCTGCCTTCTCCCCTTCCCAAGACAGCTAATTTCTTGCTCCTCTTCTTTCTCCTCACCCCCACTTTCCATCCACCCAGAACCATATCCCCTCTAGTAGCAAGGTCAGTGTCTCCGACCAAGGAACTCAATTAGATAGTCCTTTTACAAAGCACATGGCTACAGACCTTGCAGGACTTGTCAGTTTTGACAGTCGTGCAGTCTTTTGACAAGCTGAAAAGTCTTCAATGCCCTTATTTTCAAATTCTGCAAACATGCAGCTGTCCAATAAAGTAGTAGGACTTCCAAACCTCAGGACTCCTCTGTCCAATATTACCTCCATTCATCGATGGAGAACCACATGAGTTCACAGCTCCAGTACTTTATTTCCTTGGTGGAGCAGGTAATGGTACCCTTCTCCCAGGATACTTCTGTTGGCAGGAATTCCCCTCAGTTCTGTGCAACGCTGTGATTCATGTGTGAGGGCTGTTGAACAGTGTCTTGTAGGTATCAGTGTGAGCTTTGCTATAGGTTCACCTGCTCTGCAAAACTGAATTGTATTGGCTTTAAAAATCTTGTCCATTTTTTTTCTCTTAAAGCCTCTATCAAATAGATCAAATAGTTTTTCTCCAAGAAACTACGTAATAAAAATACTTTAGTATTTTACACCAATAATTGTAAAAGCAGTATGTAATGTGGCAACAAATGATCTGACATACATCCCTGGCCACTGAATGAATTGTGTGTGTGTGTGTGTGTGTGTATATATATATATTAGATATTTTCTGAGATTAAAAATAACCCCCCCAAAAAATAAAAATTTTACACCAAATATTTAAGATATGACGGGATGGGTTTTCATTAGTTTAAAATGTCAATGCTCACATTTACTTGACCTTTACTATGCTAAATAGTGTGCATAATTTATACAGATAACAAAGTAGTATTCCTGATACTTCCCTTACCATAAAAACCTAATGCTCAGAGACTTGCTTCTAAGAACAAATATATCCATGCTTAGAATTCGACTCTCCTAGTAGCACTTTTTATGAAATGGACTTGCCTGCTATATTTTCATATGTACATATGAAGTACTTGACCATATTAATCCCCCATCACCATCTCATAAATCCTTCTCCCACTCCATCCCTAGTTCCATTCTTCTTCCCAATACTTCACCTTCAATATGTATTTTACTTCTTAATTTCTGGACTCTCTTTACAAGATAAAATGTTTTTTTTTCTGAGCCAGGTTTTGTTCATCTAACATGAAGACATACTGTTCCATCCTTTTTCTTAAAAGTTACACATGTACAGAGAATCTACATTCTTTCACACTAATGAAAACTCACATCTTTTGCACATTGGCACAACTTTAAATGCACAATCACACAGATACACAAAATCATTCTCACACACAACACATGGTTGTTCACATCACATTCACAATTACTCATGCCCACCTGCATCCTCAAACATGCTCACACTCACAAATTAACATTCTCACACTCTGCATACTCATAATTCCATTCTTGCACACTGATCCACCCAACCACAACCTCCTCAGTCTACCAAGGGCTGTTAAATCATCCAAAACAAGGCCATGCATTTCATCTGCTCTTAGTATAAATGAGCCGGAGGGATCCATCCAGCTCATTATCATTCCTATTCAGTTCCCAAGTAGCCATGATTGGTCATCACCCCAAGTCCTAAACACTTGGGTCCCAAATCCTTAAGGGGGAAATGATGTGATAAAATGCATAAATTAAATGTTAAGATATTATGACTTGAAGGTATATAAATGGTTTTAAAAGATAGGCCAATTAACTAGATAAAAGTCAGAGCTCTAAAAGTAAAGCAGATTTTATAGTAATGAAAACTTTGTTACGTTTTGGCCTGAAATACATAAAATCAATAACCTATTTGCTACCAAATAACGAGGTAGAAATATCCTACAGCAACACATAAGCAACTTAAGAGTCAAATATAATGTACATTATATTGGTAAACTGTGTGTGATATTCACTAACTCAACTCTGGAAGTGAGGCTACCTCCCACTGCAATTTCAGTCCCAAATGTTAAGGCCCCTTTTGGCAGATGGAGGTAGTTCCCCACGATTGTGACAGGATAAACCAACTGAAGAGAAGAAATAGTGCCCTTGAAATCAGCTTGAAGGTAAGCAATTCCAAACAGTCATTACTATTGTTTATTCTATCAAAGTGCATACAGTGAGGAGAATTCAGAAGTTCAGGCACAGAAAGTTCACCCACAGAAAGTTGATCCAGAGTGGAAGGGACATTCTGAACCAGAAATTCCAGCAACTGCTCCAACTTACCCAGTCCACTCCTGCAGGATATTCTTAGCATCTGGTTTGGTATCTATTTGTTCTTTTACTTGGTAGCCTGAGGGAATGTTCTGCTCTGTTCTGCCCAAAGACCCCACCACTGGGAACTCCACTGCCTTAAAGGGTCTTCCAACATTTCTGTCGATGTTTTGTGCACTTGGTTGGATGTTTTGTTTTCTATCATCTGCCATTTGCTTTTTGGTCTTTTTTTTTTTAATACTGAGTTTATTTCACATGTATATTTTTGTTTCCACATCTGACCACCACTATTACTAGGTCCTATCATAACATTCCATACATACTTAAAACCAAGTAAAGGCTGGAGTTCTTCTAACCTTGAAAACTAAACAGGTATTTCAGACAACACATTCTTGGCAATTGAACCTGGAAACATTTACCAAACACAGTAGGGAAAGTTCTCACCTGGCATTTATAAAAAAGACAGGCAGTTATCAACTATTAAAGAAATGAAGTAAGACAGAATATTTCAAACTGTTTAAATCATTTTCTTAAAGAGACTTCCTCCATTGCCAGAGATCTTGAATAGCCTGGTCAGTCATCCGGAAACAATTCTTCACATAATTAGTGAACTTAGCTTCCACTTTGGGAAGAAAACCACCTTTTTCTATACTTGCTTGGATTTTTGCCTTAATGTCTTCTACAGAACTAGGTCCTTTTGGTGTTCTAGGAGGTTTTTTTTTTTCCCCCTGTTTTTTGAAGGACTCTTGACCCTTTGATATTGGTGTTGTCTTCTCTATTTTGGTTTGATTTTTGTGCATTTTTGGCTGGGGTATCTTGTACAGATTTCTTAAATGGAATCTTTTCTTCAGTTTCCTCTTCATCAAAGTAGTCACTGTCATCATCTTCATCAAGTTTTACTTTTTTCTGTGAATCCTTGTTACCACCTCCAGGAGCAGATCCCTTTCCAGACATGCCTAAGTGTTTTACATTCTCTCATCTTCACCTTCTGACTCTGCATCTTCCTCTACAGCTACTAAGTGCTGTCCACTAATGTGCACAGGCCTTAAAACACACTTCAACCTTAAGACCCCAGGTGGTGTAATTTTGAAGCCCCCAGGGGAAACTGTTGGTTGTACCGACATTTTCAAAGTTGCCAGTGTTACTTTAATTGGACTGCTTTCATAGTTCATTGCTTCTGCCTCTACGGTGTATAATTCATCTTTTGCCCCTGCCCCTAATGATAACTGGTGCTCATTTTCATCATTATCCACTTTAAAGTGATAGTCTTCATCAGCCTTTAGTTAAAAACCAAAAAGGTAGTTCTGAGGCCTAAGAGAGCTCATGTCCATGTCTATTGAGTCTTCGATGAGGTGTGGGAGAAAACAGATGGAAAACAAGTGCCTGCTGTTCCACAGAACAGACACAAAGGATGGAATCAAGCCCACTTTTTAGTCTTTTAATTTGTCTTGCTGTATACTTAGCAGTTTGCTTTCTACTGCTGTGATAAAATTCATGAAAAATAGCAACTTGGCAAGGAAAGGGTTACAACCCATCACTAAGGAAAGCCAAGACAGGACTAAGATGACAACTTTGATAGGGAAAAATCATCCTCTATCTCTTACACCCAATCTGTAGTTTTTTGTCACAATCCCCTGATAATTATTGTATTTATTTTCCTATTAACATCTACAATAGCAGAGCTCAACCTGTGAGTCACAATACCATCGGGGATCAATGACCCTTTCACAGGGCCACCTATGACCACCAGAAAACACATTTACAAGTCCTAACAGTAGCAAAATCAGTTATAAAGTAGCAACAAAAATAATTTTACCGGGCTGGTGAGATGGCTCAGTGGTTAAGAGCACTGACTGCTCTTCCAGAGGTCATGAGTTCAAATCCCAGCAACCACATGGTGGCTCACAACCATCTGCAATGAG